AACATCCAAATTTGGGGACCATTTCACCACTTTCATATAATAGTTATTCACAAAATAAGATCGATGAGAGAAGAGAATCATGCCCATTTGTCTCCATCAATAGGAATATTTTAGATGATCAACAACTTTTTTGTTTGAAATAGTTTGGTCTATTGATTGAGGATGGTGAAATTTTGACTTCGTTTGAGACAATTTTCTTACGACATTCTACAATAATTTTTTAATGCAAAATTGATTAAATGCAACTAAAAAATTGTGGCTAAATCCTATCCCAAACGAAGTCTTAGTCGGATGGCCTGTATTTTTTTCTTTTCCTTATTTGAAATTATATTTAGTTTGGCTTAATGCCTATAAAAATAATTATTTCTAACTTCTTTCCATAAAGATAAGCTATTTTGTGGGTATACCATTGGTCGATAAGGTTGTTTTTTTATATCCCCCACTCCCACTGGCTTTGTAGTTCGTTAAACATAACATTTGTATGATGCGGATGTGAGATGTGCGGAGAGGGCTTTGGGCAACAACATAATTGATCTTTTAGATTAAGTGAGATTCACAGTGATTAAAATCATCAGCGGAACCCAATATAGGTGAGGGTGGGCAATTTTTGAGAGTTTGCCCATCCTCAAAAGTAAGAGTAATTATTACGTCCGGACAAAAAACCAGAAATCCGGACGTACCGAGCAATACCGAGTGCTTAATACCAAGTTTTAGGTGACGTGGTGTGTGTTTATTGGTCTCTGGACGAATCAGGTGACCTGACATAATAATTACTTCAAAACTACAACTAGTTTTTACCACTAATTGAAATCATTGAGGTGATCAATGCAGTCTACACTTAATATATATATATATATATATACAGGTTACTTTCTTTTTAAATCAGAATGCATATCTCATATGATTAAATTGATATAATTATCATAACTCTATTTTATGGCAGATTTTCATTAGATTATATTCTGAAATTAAGATATTTTCTTCATATATAATAATTTAATAGAGCATTGCATCTACCCTCACCTAGCTATAGAAGAAGTCACCTGAAATCATTATTTCGGGTGTTCCCCTTTGTAGCAATAAAGAATGAGACAAATCTCTCTCTCCCCCTCTCTCTCTCTCTCTCACTCTCTATGATTATCACATATAATCTTGTGAGCTAGAAGGATTTGGGTGTCATCTTTTCTCCTTTATTATAATTCAATGTTTTAAATATATTCACTAAGTTGGCTTAAAGCTCTTTAAATATATTTAAAATTATACTTATGAAATTAAAAGTTTGAAAGGCAATTCTCTTTCTACAACACTCTTAACGAAATTATAATACATTTTAAGTATATTTTTTTAACGGTTAGCTTATGAGCTTATGAATCCAGTCAGAGTTAGCTCAAACTTGACTCATTAGCTCATCAAATTTAACTAATAAATCATTTATCGAGTTGAGCTCAAACTAGTTTACAAGTCAGTTTGTCTCACTTCCATCCCTAGACTCCCTCGAAATGACCAACCTAGCTAAATGGTTACTACTCAGATCATAAAGGAAATTGTATCTAGTTTTATATCTGAAAAACATTAAATTTACTTGCAAGATAGACTAAAATTTTTTTTGGCAGTCGCATATAACAATTTCAACAGTAATACATTAAAAGGAATTTCGGTGGAGCTGATTTTTTTCTTGAGGAGGAAATGCTACGCAAATATATTTAAAGAGCTTTAAGGATAAGAAATTTCTATAATATGTTTTGAGCTAATTCATTTTGTGCATAAGGCTTAGATTTGATCTTTAGGATTTTACTAGAATAGGCCAATTTGTATTATCCGAGTGAAAGGGTTAGTTTCATAATTTAAAACTAATTTAATAGTATTGAAATTAAAAATATTAAAATTTCGCGTGAAATATCATTAAATGCATATATTCAAAGATATAACTGAAATATTATAGAAATTTTAATATTATAATTCTAATTTCACTTATGACTCATGCTTATATAGAAATATATAATTGAAATATAATCGTAAAGACATTAAACTTCATACAAAAATTAGAATTATAATACTTTTTATTGCATTGAATAATATGTTGATATAATAATATCTATATATAGAGTAATAAACATAAATACAATAAGAAATATACTTAATAATGAGAATTTATTTTAATAATAATGACAATAAATAATTCAAATAGCTATAATAATCCTTCGTCATTCATTATTATTTATTGTGTTTGAAGATCGTTTGATTATACTATATATATATTTTTTTACTAAAAATATATCTACGCATATATAATGAAGGTTTTGTTTGGGAAAGCTTTCTTAATGCTTTCTAGTAAAAAAATTAAATTAAAAAAAAATAGTATTAAAAAATACTTCATAAAGTAATAAAAAAGCTGTGACAAACGAAGCCCGAGGACATGTGATTTTCATATTATAGTTTTTTGTCTTTATACAATGTTCCAACTTCTAATCTTTATTGCATATTCTTGAAAAAGAGATTCTTAAGATTTTGTATAGAACAAAGCAATAAATTTGTTATGTTCATTAATTTACAATAGCTCGTCGAATTTATAATTTTGATTTATTTTAATAATTTAGATTTCATCACTTTTTTTCTTTAAATTCTGATTATTCTACTTCTGCAAATAACCATTAAAGAAGATTAAACTAGGAAAGAAGAGATAATAAAGAGAATAATTTCAGTAATCCAATTCATTTTAATTGTCGGTTATAACTGATTAATTCATTTTTCAATAAATCATTCTGATTTGGAAAATCTATTAATACTAATCATTAAAAATAAATTTGGTTTTGGGATTGAAATATTATTTATATTTATCATATTAATAAAGCAATATTAAATTAATGCCAAAACTATTGTTTTCTCAAAATAATTTCCTATAAAGTTAATGCAAAATAAACAAAAATCAGCCTAATCTATACAACTCAGCTCCAATTACTAATAAGCACGTGGAGTTTTCATGTCTTGAGCTTAAAGTTGCACGTGACGACACAACTCACCTTAGTCTGTTTGAGAGCTTAGGCTACCAACTAAGAGTTTTTGGGTTGAAGTTTTGTGTATGTAATGTGTGTGTATGACTCTGTCTTAATTGGCCTAAATGTCCAACAAAAAAAGTTGCACGTGGAAGTCTTTTTCGTAGCTTTAGGCTTCGTTTGTTACTATTTTCTAAAGTATATTTTTAGTAATTGAAAATTTTATAATAAAAAGATATTTTAAAAAATAGTAAAAAAAAGGATCATAAATGAAGCCTTAATTTACATATAATTATCACACATCTGCTTAGTCATAAATTACTTGCAACTTCTCTAAAACCTATATTATAACATGATTGTTCGAATTATGTTATTATAGTTATCGACTATCTAACACAACCTTCTAATTTTCTTTTCCTGGATTTAAAATTTGACAATCATAGTCTCTAAAACTTAAGATATTTTTCATAATTTGAGAGGCTAAAATATCATTATTATAGAAAAAATTACTATTAGCTCTTTTTGATATGTCACCAAAAATAGTCTTGATCGAGCACGAATCTTGAGGCATATGTGAGCGAAAAAAATTTCAAAATTAAATTCGGGACCATCCGGCCCCCAATTTTAGCAAACTTATAATCAAATATAACATCTCAAGGAGAAGCACAACAATATCAAAATTGGTCCAATCTGAGCTTAATTGGGTCCCAATCAAGGGATCAGAACATATTTGGAAGTTTCAAAACATTAATTGGATAACTAGAAGATATCCAATATGACATGCTTATTGTCAAATCGAGCGGCTCGATGAAGCGAATCCAACAAGCCCAAAATTGCTTAATTCTGACATCAATACAACATGAAAATGCTAAACAAATGTTTTATGATCAAAGGGATTAATACAAGCCATCTGATGGAGCACTCTAGATTTACGCTTGATCTTCTCCATATTTAGTGGCATGCTATTCTCAAAATCTATAAATAAACCTCCACTCTGTCACACCCCATTATTTATATTAAAAGAATTGCATCTATCTTTCAATTTAATTATTTAACTAGAGCTAACCAATTTCTTATGAACCGCAGAAATAAACATGATTGCATTTTGTCTAGAACTACATGAAGAAAATTATACATGTTGTCTGGAGCCTCATATCATAGGATTCTTATTCTTTCCTAAAAATATGTAAAATTATATAATGAGCACATAATCCAACAAATAGCCAAAATCTTACAATTGAAATCAATGCAATTATAAATGAAAAATAATATGCTATAAATTATATAAGGAATTCTACGCATCAATATATATATACAAATAGCCAAAATCTTACAATAATAGCTTACAACTATTAGACCTGTCTCTCTTATTTATATATATGATAGATCTTCCTATAAAGCTTATACGTCAAGCAAAGCAAACTCTATTAGGATCAGTTTCCGCCCCCCTAAATAAAACAAAGATACTGATGACGAGAAGTCTCCTTATAACCGCACCAATAATCTTAACTAAATTAATCTCTTTCAGACAGCTATAATTTTTTTTTATAAAAATAGTTATAAAATTACTACGAAGAAAGTACCCTATAAGAGATAATTACACCTCTTAGAAGGTACGTAGAGCTACGTTCGGCTGACACTAAGATCGCAGGCACAAAACGAGAAATACCAAGCAATACCAATAATAATGAGAAATATCATTATGTAAAGACAAAATACCGTGCAATACTGAGCAATACCGAGCAATACCAAAAAATACCAAATTTTTTCTAAAAAAACTTGTATTTTTTGGTAATACTCGGTATTGATCTTCCCAGAGTGGTATTTCTAGTTATTATCAAACAATACCTAACAATACTGACCAAATACCGAGCAAAAATCAAATAACAATCCTTTGACCGAACGTAGATCTACGTCTGGTCAGAGGACGTAATAAAAGTTCCTTAGAAGGAGAATGTCCATTCCCTTTCCTTTTTTCTTATTATCTTTAGATTAATAATTTATGCATGGAATTTAACCATCCAATATCATTAAGCGATCCCAAAGACTCTACATATAATAAAAAAAATATGCAATCGACTCTTTTAAGCCTGCTCACAGCCTATTACAAGACGTGCTATTTTCCATGTTTCATATATCACAATCTGCTTTGCACAGACAGAGAAGGTTATACAGAAGTAATCGGAGCACTCACAAATTTGCTCTCTTCCGAATTACAAGCACATCCAATGGGGCTATAAAATAGACCTAAGCTGACAAATCAAGCGTTGTGGTTCGTGATCTGAGATGAAACTGGATCAGGGATTAGCCAGTTTTTACCTCGCTAGTCTTCAGAAGTTGGGGAATCAACCAGAAGAAAAGAACTTAGAGGCTGCCAGTCACTCCAGGAAAGAGTTCCGAAATCTTGGTGAACACATCCATAACCTGAGAAAGCAAGTTTAATTTTGGTGTAGATGAAGATAAAAGCAATGTCAAGTTATTTTAAAAATATTAATATTTATTTAAGCCGGCTCGGGAGCTCACGAGCCGAGCCGGCTCAAGCTCGAACTCGAGCTCGACTCATGAGCTTGATAAGCTTGGCTTGCAAGCTCATAAACGAGTCGAGCTCGAGCCGGCTGGCGGGCTCGGCTCACTTACACCCCTAGTGCTGAAAAATTATTCTAACGACAATGCGAGCAAAGATGTAAAAGTTAAGCTCACAGAGAATAAACCGCGTTGATTGGAAATGATCTAAAGAGATACGAAGACATGCACAAAGTTAATGAAGTTGGACTTCAAATATTGAAAAAAAATTACAACATAATATCTTGATCAAATTTCCATCTGAATATTATGGTCATTGGAGTTACTTTACATGATTGCATATAAATTTTAATTGATTAGTCATATGTTAAACAAAATTCGAAGCAAAAGCAATGGCTATCAAATCCATTATGATAAAATTTTAATCAGAATATTTTGATCTAAGTTGTGTCCCAAAATCACTCAATTATGAAATAAATCAAGTGTGCTCATCAAATTGCCCACTAAAATATCATCTCCAAGCCTTGATTGTAACACATATTGAGCAAGTTGCAATCATTCTTGGTCGATTTGTCTGATCGATCAGGTTAGTTTGGTTGAGCGTGTCTGACAAGATTAGTTTTGTTATCACTCCAATCCCCAATCTCAACTCTTCATAGTCACCGTACAATAGCATGCAACTGTGAGTATGACACTCACATCTACTAATGGCAAATCCATCTCCCCACTTTTGGCAATAGCCACAGCTTTCTGTCAAAGCTCGTGACATCAATCGTTTTCTTCCTAACACAAACACCTAAATTGCATCGAAAAGTAACCCAATACTCACTCTATAGGTAACAAAGGACAACAAAATCGCCAGTTCTTTTAAAAATAAGAAGAATCTCCTCACCAAACGTATGCATTTTAAAGAGCTCCTGAATAGACTTGGTGGAGTTTTGATCAGCTCTATACAAATAATCTTGAACAAAATTTCCAGAGAGCTTAAATATACTAGCAAGCTTAGGCTGTAATATTGATGAGCTTGGAACTACAAAGTTCCCGACTAGAATCATATGTCAGTTAGTATTCATTTCCATTTGTATTATCTACTTGTTTAAAATTTATTATCAAGTTATTTAAGATCCAATAAGTCTCCTAAGTTCATAATTCTCTCCTGCCATTCAAACTCACATATCTGCATATTGTAGCTCCAGAATACTGTGACCTTTCACTAAAGCTTGTCTGGTCAATAAAGCTCCGGTCTTCAATACTTTTTTGTTTTGGGTGGGGGGAGGGGTATGACATTCACTTGTAATTTTACTTCCATTCATGACATATTTGTATTTAATAAGATTGCTTGTGCTTGATTACAGACAAATTAACAAGTTATAAACCCTAGCTCGTTCTGCTTATCAATCAGGCCAAGCATAACATAAGTTCAAATTGGCCAGAGCTTGGCAAAAGCTAGATGACCATTTTCATAAAAGGAAATCAAAGCTGAAATGAAACTTGAGCATGTCATGAACTTGCTTAGTGCTTACAAAATGAGCTTAAAAAAATAATATAGACAGACTTTATACTCCCCAACCAGCCCACCCCCCTGCACGAGCACCCACAGATGACAGCATGAAGGGGAAAGCTATGAGGAGATGATTAAGTTTGATAGGCATGCATCATGGCCCTCAATATCATATGGCCCTCACTATCATATTTTGACAAGACTTGAATGAGTTGATTCCCTTTAACATTAAAAAAATACCTCTCTTTAGTTTCTAAGAAAATTTTTAGCACTGCTGGTCTTTTGTACCAGGTTCTATAATCTTGTAGTAATAGTAGGTGCCAGTATGCCAGTAAGACCGGTTAGGCATGGGGGTAGGGATGAATTATAAGCTACAGAAAATACTCAAAGATATCTAGGAAAACACTGATTCAGAAAATATTAAATAATAATCACTTCTATTATGTTACACAAGCCTTACCTCCTTGTCATTTTGATACTTAGCGATGCTGAGAGGATTCTGAGAGCACTGCGAAAAAGGAATAACTTGTCAGCAAGCTTAAATTCTAAATTGATGAAAGATTACAGCTAGATCAGCTTCATACGTCCATGATTGCAGCTTGCACTTTAGGGTTTTGAAATGCCAAAGCAACATCAGGATTTGCCATAATTTTAGAAATAACCTCTTCAGGAGTCAAGCCTACCTGATCTGCGGAGGAAATGGCAGTCAGAAGTTAGCAGCAGATACCAAGAGCGCAATAAATTATAACAGCAGCTTTCGTATGGCACCATCAACAAATAATTGGTAATGATTCATAATGAACAGCATCAACATATGCTAGAAGATGACAACCAGATAAAAGGCATTGCCCAATGCAAAGAGTTCCAGCTAATGCAGGGTTTGAAGAAGGATTATGATGGCCAGATAAATCATATTATGAATTGCAGATGTGAAAATTTATGTAGGAGCATGGCCAAAATATACGTACAATCTAATAGACAAAGTAAGCATGTGTGAATCTCTTTTAAGTTGCATAGAGATACTAAAAAAATTTAGGCTATGATTTAGATTATTTAACAGAAATAATAACTAAGAACTACAAAGTTATAATGATTAATAGTACAGAAGAAAATGGTCTAAACTTAAAAAATGTAATAATGCAGGCCACAAATGGATAGAACTATAATTTTGTTTCTTACCATACCATAAGTTCAATTTTAAGTGTAGAGCATAGTGTTGACCTCATAAGCTTAGAGCTGCATTATAGCATTTTGATGATTACAAATATAATTTGACTGAGATGATTTTAAACTAATTCAATTTTATGCATGATTTATTACTAATAGCTCTAAGTTTACAATAGAGAGTCAAGATGCAATTATAATGCACAATTTTGGAACAAACAAAAACTCGGGTGCAGACTATAGCTCAAGAAGAAAATGCCAAGATCAAAATTCACTTAATTCAAAATTTCAGGATGAACCAGAAGCAATCCGGATTGATAGTTGTATGAGTTACAAAAGTTATATTTTTCATAATATTTGAGTCGTGAGTATGTGGGTGTGTGTGTGGAATTTAAAATAATTTTCAACCTGCAATAATTATATATATATATATATACATAAGGTAAAAGGATTAGTGATACAATCAGCACACACACATAAATGAATTTTAAAAAAATATCCTTTGAAAATTTTTCATTAATGAAAATTACAGTAGATCAGACTATATAATGTCAATCGTACTGTACAGTAAATTCTAATTTCAAATAAATTAGTCATATCAATTTACATTAATTAATACATCTTCAAAAGTTAACTACTGTGAAATAATCACAAAACAAGAGAGCTGAAGAAAAAGGTGACTTCAGAAAAACTCAAAATACATTTTAGGTCAACTCAAGCACGGATTCATCAGGAAGTGAGCCTAAAGAGAAAATAATTTGTGCTTGATCACTAAGGGTGATTCAGATGATTCAAACTCTAAATAGTTATAAGATTTACCATATGATAAATTACTTTCTATAACTGAAGAATTACATAATGATTTTAAATCACTTAAGAAGCAATATTATAACTTTAAAAAAAGAATCATCTCCAGAAAAAGGGCATATTAGTTTGCAGCATGACCTAGAGAAAATAAAGAAATAATTAGAAGAAATTTTTGTGCATAGGATTTGAGAAGGAATATGATTTATTGTAAGAAGATTATCTTGATTTAGATAAATCAAAATATCAGTTGTATGTTAGGGTCGCTCACTTCTACAAATAAAGACTTAAGAAATAAAGTGATAGAATTGAGTTATCTCTCAACCACTGTACCACATTTGCATACACCACCTAAGGTGGAACTTCATATTACATTTTTTTCTCGTAAGACAGAGAAATTTAGAACCAATAGACTTGTAGATTTCATGCCTAGCACTAACGTTATTCATGTGGCATGATTGATCATTTAACATACGCGTGCCCCAGGGTACACATGAGCATCTATTACAAATGGATTTCTAATAATTTGAAAACGCATCCCATAAGAATTAGAGAACCCAATATGGTTTTGTTTCTTGACAACAGGACTGTTGAAGGCATATGGCACTTGGACAATTGATGCTTATGGCATATAACTGGAGACGAGATGAAATTCATTGCATTTGAGCACAAGAGTGGTGGCAAAGCAACTATTGGCAAAAATACTACAAGACAGGTTATATGGATATTAAAAATTTCAATGAAAAAATTACTTTATCATTGCAAATATCCTCTTAGTTTATGGTCTAAAACATAATTTACTAAATATTAGTCAACTATGTGATAAGGGTTTTGATGTTATATTTTTTTCAAATATTTGTTTGTAAACTTAAAAAGTAAGATTATTTGAGTTAAAATGAACTATCTTTATTTGCTTGATATTGATAAAATAGGTGAGTATAAGACAATTCGTTACTTGAAAACCATACTACTAGATGAGTCATGACTAAGTCACGCCAGTATGAGTACACTTAGAAAAATCACTCACTCAGCTCTAATTAAAGGGGCATCTAAATTGGATTTACACGAATGATTATTTGAGCGATGCGATAATCCAATGAGGTGACATTCATAAAATAATATCCTTAAAGAGTATTCAGTAAAAGAACATAGCAATTGAGAAATCCACATATGCCATATTCAATGAATATGATTCATCTAGTCAGCCTAGAGAAATAATATTAGAAGAAGACATGAGAGAACTTAGAGTTGAAAAAGAAAGATTAAAATCATGAGAGTGGAGATATGCATCCAGCAATCTTAAGGACCGGATCATAGGACATCCATATGTAGGGATAAGAAAAATGAATGCACTAAGATTAAGAGATGAACTGTATTAATTTCCTTAATTATTCGTTAATTGAACCCACCAAATTTAAAGATGTTTTTTATCAAATGAATTATGGGTAATAGCCATAAAAAACAATTCAATCAATTCAAACAAAATGATGATGGATGAAATGGGTTTTCAAAAAGAATTTGAATGACTCCGAAACAGTTCGAAAAAGAAGACCAATTTGATAGCTAAAGGATTTAATCAAGCAAAGAGAATAGTTTTTAAGGAAACGTTTCCACTAGTTGCACACTTAGAGGACATCAATTATTATTTATTAATTTATTTTTGCTTGTTTCAAAAATAGTTACACCAAATAGACTTGAACAGTCTTTCTAAATCGGACAATGTAGAGAGTATGATGTCAAATAACCACCGATTTCGAGAATTCAACATATCAAGATCATGTTCTCGCCTCAATACCCGAATACGCAATTTTAAACATTGATATAAACTAAAAAATGCTTTATATATGTTAAAACAAGCCATCAGGGCGCTTGATGATAGACCTAGTCCTTTTTTTTTCAAATTCATTTACTAAGAGAATTGTGGACATGACTCTATTCATAAAAGGGCTAACAAATCTATATTGATAACATATTACTTGATATTCCAAATGAGTCACTACACTAGGAGTTCTAACCCATAATGAATCATGAATTTCAGATGAGTATGATAAGTGAATTAAAATATTTTCTATGATTAAATTTAAATAAGGAAAAAAATGGAATATTACTAGGACAACCAAAAAATATATAAGAATTAATTAACAAGTTTAATATGAAAGGATGCAAGAGCACAAATGCCCCATGAGACCAACCACCCAGACAAACACCCTAATGGAAAATCTGTAGACATAAAAAAATGGGTAATGAGAATAGGAATCATTGCAACAAATGTATAAATCTAGTCAATGCATATATGTTTGTATTTTTTTAGCATGTGTTCTGTTTGCATTTTTCTCGTATTTTATTGGATGTGTTTCTTTATTTTCATTGCAAGATTATGTGTTTGCATTAGAGTCTTTGATTATTCCAATTCAGGATTATGTTTTGAGATATAATAAATGATTTGATGGAATCATATCTGGATAATTGTACTGTACAATCCAAATTTTACCATATAAAACACTTTGTACTACCCGATCCACAATCATACTTTACGATTGATCTTTTAACCATTACAAGCCACATCAATCAACCATGTAGAAGGGCTGCGTTAAAAAAGTTGATCATACTAAATGATCTCACATCATACTATACAATTAGATCGGGCCAAAAATAATCATATTTTAGCCATTGAGATGATCATATCTAACAATGATTGTATCGTATGATCACAATCACATTGTATGATCTTCCATACTAAAATTTTTTATAAATTGCTCTCTCATTTCACTCAAATTTTCTTCAACCTCCAAACCTTCAAGAGAGCTTTTAGAGTTTCTAAGTGAGAATTCATGGCAAGCAAACAATTAAAAGGTATTGGTTCATCTTCCTTTCTGCAGCACAACCACTGCTTCTGAATGCCTTCCAACACCACCACCTATGAGAAGCATTGACGATGTTCTATCACCAACTCTAAACCCGTAGAACAAGAACAATATTTATGATCTTTTTATGAACACAACACTCCAATTCTTTATTTGACTTGGTTATCCATATCAATCCAAATTAATTCTTGAATTCTTTGCAAATTTGCATCAATATAAGTTGCACCACTATGTAAAATCTAGTGTGTGGGAAGCTAGTGGTGATCATCAATCAGTACATCTTTAACATGGTGTTGCCTTCACATCATAGCCACAGATCCCACATATAACTGGACATCCATAAACTGATTCCTTAGGGATTCCCCACTTCCACATCATGAGCTGCTTGTTAGTGGACTTTTGCAGAGTGCTTGGGTTATCCAACATGTGCGTCAACACAATATCATTCCCAAAGCTAATGATTGCATAATTATTACCCCTTCTCTCAATAATTGCCTAATACTACATGATCCGCACAGAATTTAATGTCATAAATATGATCATCCAATATTATTGAAACCTTACATTTATTTGCCACCATAGGTTCAAGCACTGTCAAAATCTAGCACTTAGTAATGTTATTGCCAATATTTTAAAAACCAAATACAGTCTAGCCTGACCTAAACCACCTGACCAAATTCCATCTCACTTTTTCCCAATTAATCTTTCCATATCATATTTGGTGAAAAGAGGAATTTCATCCATGTGGATGACAATGATGATGATGAAGAAGTCGCCCCAGCTTCCTCACCTCGACTCCAAGCTCATCCAACCTACTTTTCATAGAACTACCCCTAGGATGCTTAGACGGATCACCATTTCCAACTCAAGCTCAAATTTTATGAGCACACACTGCTCAGGAGAACCTC